GTGTGGGCGTAAACATCAAACGTTCATATTTCTTAGTCATTGTACAGGTCAGAGTCACACACTGGGACAATGGTTATGCGTCAGTGACTGAGTATGAACTAGACTGTCAGAGCACTATGGCTGACCTCACTGTTACATGCAGGTCTTCGCTAGTCCCCTTCAGTGGGGTATTCCATTCTTAATCAATTAATTCCTGAAAAGTTTGAAGCTATTTAATTTCATGCCCACTTTACTCCCAAAGAACTAAACATCCAGAAAATTGAAAGAGAGACTAACACACAGGAGAGTTATTTCTGCTTGTATCAAACCCTGAAATACAATGAGGGTTGGGGGGGATTCCAAGGAGCAACATTCCATGGGGTCCTGGTGCCTTGTCCCAGCCGGACATGCAGGGAAATGTATTATTCATGAAGTGAGGCTCTGTAGTGAGACACCAAACAGCCTATTTAGCAATCTGCGTGCGTCCCAGGAACAAATGTTTCCAAATGTTGGAGCATTAATAAGACCCAGCAGAGGCCTTGGGCTCTTCTGTGGAAACTGAGTGCAGGTAGGGGGGATTCGGGGGAGGGGGGGTGGCCATGGTGAACACGATGTCCTGGCAGGTGGCCTTGCACATGGCTTGCGTGGCAGCCCATAGCACGCAGACCTAGTCTAACAACCTGGAGGAGAAAAGCTTCCAGCCTAAAATGAACGCTGGCTTTATGAGCAGCATGTTTTATGGCAGAGAAGTCTGGCATTTAAGAGTCTTTTTGCATCTATCCACAGTTCTCTGATCCAATTTCCTCTGCACCCTCCTACCTTGTCCAAAGTCCCTCTGAAGTTGTTCCTGACCAGCGGGCTGCTTCCTCCATTTTTATGTGCTTCTGTGTTTTAAGTTCTCCTTTGAACACCGTGTCTTTGTTTGGCAAGTTCTTACATCAAATAGTTTGTACAGAACAAGAACACTTCAGGAATGGTGGACGCCGTCGCAGTAATGCTGGTACTGGTGAATTTGTTTGTACCCACTGCTCTAAGGTGCCCCATCACTCTGCCATCCTGGGACATGCTATGTACTGAGAGATCACCTGCAGGTCAGATGTGCTTTTGTCCCATTAAGAAAAACTCCACCAAAGATGACATGGTTATGAATGTAATCCATGTAGATTTTTTTTACTGCTGTGCATCGATAAACTTCCAGGTGATCACATTTTGTTATTTTTCTCTTTTCTTGAGTGTTTTTGTGTTGCACGGTGGTGCTGTACATGATAGGAAGTGCAAGTGCTGCTTATGATAAATCAGCCACAGCAGCAGGGGGCAGTGTGTAGATGTGAATGCGCTTGACTGAGCTTCTAGCTATGTAATGTGGAAGCACGGTGACCTCCTGCATTATCCAACAGTTTAATTAGTGCTGTAAACAAAACGTAGCGAAATTTAGTGTCCAGGGAAATTAAGTGTCCACTTCTGTTATTGCTACCTCTGGCCCATCGTTAATGGATGGATCTTCGTACCACCCAGGATGTGGGCCATCCGTTACAAAAACCACACTGGCTACTGAAATATCAGCACTTCAAAAGATCTCATCAGGGGGTTGCAGTTATACCATTGAACAAGGCATTTCAGAGTTGACTACCAGAGTGTTGTAACTCCATAATGCAGGAGTACTATTTAAGGTTTCCCCCCACCTTAGGGCCTGCATGTCCTTTGCTGTAAACGAGGGTAAAACGGGTGGGTCAGTGTTAACACCTCTGTACTGCATGACTGCAGGATGCATCACCACTACAGTGTGTAGGCAAAAGTTGGGCTACGTCCAAGGCGTGACTAAAGTGAAGAGCGTGTTCCACACATAAACCCTGCTGAATTCCGCCCTGCTGGTTTCTGCCTGTCAGGAGCACTTTCCTGTGTCACTCAATTAAGTAATTTCAAACCCAGGACGAGCACAAACTTTAGTGCAGTCTGCTCTGATTGATGATGCCGTATTTATATTAACATTAATGCTGCATGGGGTGTTTTCCTGCTTGCTGCTTTGTTCCATTCTGGATGTTAATCAATTTGTTTTTCACCCACAGCTAAAGCTAGCATCATGGTTAATATTTAGCCTAGTGATCTAGAGCCATTTCCTGGTCCTAGCATTTTAATAATTAATATGCTGCTGAAAGATTGTCCTGAAGGCAAAGGGCAGGAATTCTGTGTGCTTTTGTGTGTGTGTGTGCGTGTGAGAGGCTACAGGAATGCCATGCAGTTAATCATTGTCATTGCAAGGGCTGCGGGGGATACACTGTAGGGGAGCAGACAGATACTGAACACGTGCTCAACACAGAATACAGTACACAATGCAAACAGTCTACAGAGGGCATAGTGTACAATACACACCACCCAATATACAGGAGTGGATAAACGAAATTGCACACCTCATACTACACAGTGATCAGCTCACACAAGGTCACAGGGCAGAATATAAGCAGCTCACACAGCATCAGTAGGCAGACAGTAATCAGCTCACACAGCATCACAGGGCAGACAGTATTAGGCTCACACAGGATCACAAGGCAGACAGTCATCAGCTCACACAGCATCACAGGGCACACAGGGATCAGCTCACACAGGATCACAGGGCACACAGGGATCAGCTCACACAGGATCACAGGGCACACAGGGATCAGCTCACATAGGATCATAGGGCGCACAGTGATCAGCTCACACAGGATCATAGGGCGCACAGTGATCAGCTCACAGGATCACAGGGCGCACAGTAATCAGCTCACACAGCATCACAGGGCAGACAGGGATCAGCTCACACAGCATCACAGGGCAGACAGTCATCAGCTCACACAACATCACAGGGCAGACAGTAAGCAGCTCACACAGGATCACAGGGCAGACAGTATTCGGCTCACAAAGTAACCATGTCACACAGGATCACACAGCAATCAACTCACTCAGAATCATACAGTAATCAGCTCACACAAGATAACACAGAATCATACAGTAATCAGCTCACAAAAGATTACACAAGATCATATCGTAATCAGCTCGCACAGGATCACACTGTACTCAGCTCACACAGAATTACACTATTCAGCTGACATAGCACTACACCTTAGTCTGATACCCCTCAGATCACAGGCCCCGGGGAACGAAAGTGTCAGCACCTGCAGTTAAGAGAGTCGGCATGCTGGGTTTGGAGAACCAGGCCTGAGATGTTGTGTGTGATGTGGCACGTTTGTGGGACTGTTATGGAACCCATAAGAAGATATTTTTGACCAGCACTGTACTGGTTGTTTTATTTTTTAAGTTTATTTTTTAGGGGCAGCGTGTGGCTCAGTGGGCTAAACCTGTGTGCTTGTAATCACGAGGTCGCCTGTTCAAACCCAGCCTCAGCTCATCTGTGGGTCCTTGAGCAAGGCCCTTAACCCCCAGCTCCCTGGGCACTGCTACAGGTGGCTGCCCTTCATGGACAGCTTGCTTACAAAGAGCAAGTTGTGGGAGGCATAAAGACAATTTCCCCACAGGGATTAATAAAGTGATGATTTTTTTTTTTAAGATTTTTGATTGTGGTCCATGTCAAAGGAAAATGTTGATTTCATAGATTATGAGTCATGTGGACAGTCAGGATGTCAAGGTTTGCATAGTAAACAGGTTCACATCTCTCATTTTGTCAGGTGATGGAGCAGTGTTGACATTCCAGCCATATTACGTGTGCCCGGCTTAGCGAGACAGACCAATGGGGCTGCCGTGCCGAGGCGTCTCCGTCTGTGTCTCGTCTGTGTGTGTGTGTGTGTGTGTGTGTGTGTGTGTGTGTGTACATTTCCGTCAGAGACAAAAGGTGGTTTGTCTCCAGCTCCTTTCTCACAGTCCTGTAAGGTAGCATTCCTTCTCCTCTACGCTGACTGATACCGACTTCCAGGGAGTCACAAGACAGAAATGGAATCTCCATCACATTGTCCAAAGCTTCTCGTGTTTACCTTCTTTTACTTCGTCAAACCTTCAGGCACTACCACAGTAATCGGTGCTGCTAGCCTGCGGTGTGTGTGAGCCTGGACACCGGGTCATTACTCAGAGCAAAACATTACTTTTGGTTAAGTGACCTTTAAAATGACCTGCTGCCCGGTGACGTTGTTTTGCTGTGTTTGAGTGGTGTGGTGCATTCGAGACATATGAATTTATGAAAGGTGATGCTGAAAAACCTTTGGGGAATGAAGCTTTGAAAATTAGGTCCCACTGAAAGTTCTCCATGTTCCTTCTCTGTGGATTCAAGTTTGCTGCATTTCAAAACAAAGAAAAGCATTTGGTCCCACTTTCATGTCCTAATGGAATGTATAATCTATAAACTACAATCTATAAATTTCTATGATCAGAGGATTCTGAGCCAGCCATTAGTGCTCTGTTCTGTTTGTAATCAGTCAACTTTCATCCTGTACAGCATTTTTAAAAAGAATCATTTCATATAAAAGTGGAAAAGTGATAAACTATGGTATAACTATATATTTAAAATGAAAAGCAATAGTATGAAGATGAAGAGTTGAAAAAAATGTAAATAATCGGGGACTTGGTAAAGAATAGCAATTATGGAGTTAATGTGAGTACAGTTTAAATAAAACCTTACTTTCAGTAAGTCCATAATTTGGTGGATTCAAACTGTAATTTTCTAGAGGCAGAAGGTTTGTGCTGAAAGGTGATCACTTTTACCAAATTCAACTGAGGTTTTCCACATACTGCTCTGAACGAGGCCAGGTCCAGCTGGCAGTCACACTGCATTAATGTTATGAGTGTATGTGTTTTGTTTGGAAGCAGAGGGTAGTTTCTTTGTGGTAATTTAGAGAACTTCCCAAACGGGACCTCTGCAAACGCGTCGCCGCAGAATACTAAGGAGAGGCAGCCGGAGAGCCACGTCAATCGCCGCAGATATGGCCACGTTTTCGACCACATCGCATCGGTTTTGCGTTCCCGTCACCATTGCGGTTCGCCCACCTTTCTGCCACGCCACTGCACCTCAGTGACCTCGTCCTGCCCCGTCCCTGCAGGTCGGGCCCGGTGCCATGTGGAGGTGAGCGCGATTGGAGCACCGCGTCGCAGATGGAGCTCAAGGTGTGGGTGGACGGCGTGGTGCGGGTGGTGTGCGGCCTGTCGCAGGAGACGTCCTGCCAGGATGTGGTCATCGCTCTGGCCCAGGCCATTGGTAAGGCTCCTTATCCACTCTGCCTTTGTCCCAGGTGGCTCCTCCTACCTCTTCTACTCAGTACGGCTCAATTTGATTTGTTCAGTTTGCTCAGGAAGCAGCCACGCCTTCCACAGAGCAACATCTGCCGGTCCTGTCATTTCATGTTGAGGTTTATTAGTAGCCTTAATGAAAGCTTTGCACATGTGCTGCCATTTGCACGGGAAAAGCTAAAGAGTGAATGAGAGATAGGCAGAGAAGGCAAGACAGATCTGTTTGTTTCTCTCTGAACCCAATGTGTGTCCCCACCAAAAACTGCAGGTCAGACGGGCCGCTACGTTCTGATCCAGAAGCTGCGGGACACAGAGCGGCAGTTGCTGGCCGATGAGCGACCGTTGGAGCTGCTGGCCAAGCTGGGGCAGCACAGCAAGGAGGTGCAGTTCTTCCTGCGTCGCACGGGTCCGAGCAGCAGCGAGGGGCCCGGCCCGGACCGAGGTCCCACGCTGCCCAAGCCACCCGAGCCAGTGACTCTGCGGAGGCGGGAGCCCAAGAAGTCACTGACCTTCAATCTGGGTCCCGCAAATTCACCCCAGAGCAGAGTAAAACAGATTAAAAAGACACCCAGAGACTCCCCGGAGGCTAGGGCTTCCCCCCCCCTGCCCGGCCCAGCCCCCAGCCCTGTGCCTGGCCCTGGCCCTGTCCCTTCCATTGGCACGTCCAAAGAGGAGGTGTTTCGGCTGATATTGCAACAGCAGGAAAAGCTGCAAGCTCTGGATGTGCAGCTGGAGACTGTAGAGGAGAGGGTGCGAGAATGTGATAGGGTCCCGGGGCCAGGGCCCCGGCAGGACAAGCTGGAGCAGCTGGAGGAGCAGGCGTGGCGCAACCAGGCGGAGCTGGCCCAAGAGGCCGCCTGGGAGGAGGAACTGCATGCGGAGGCGGAGCGGGAGCGAGGGCTGCGGCGCTGTCTGGCTGAGCTGCACTCCTCACTAGACGACTGCGGCCGCAGGCTGAACGACTGCACCGCCCACTCTGCGCAGCTGGAGCGTGAGATTCAGCAGGAGGCGCACTGGGAGGAGTCGTCGCTGGACACCGTGAGGGCGGAGCTACAGAGCCAGCAGCATCAGGGGGTGGAGCTGGAGGCCTCGCTGACGGAGGCAGAAAAAACACTGGGGCGGGTAGAGACTCTGCTGCAGGTGAGCGGGGAAGGGATGCTGCAGGAGGTTGCGTGTTATGCATGTGAAGTGTGTGCGGTGTATTTACTCGAATTCAGCAAACTGTGCAACTGTTTATATTGGTGAATAGTAACATTACAGATCTTTCAAGGTCAGTTTTTCTTTTTTCAAAGCACATTATAATGCTTTGGTGCCTTAAGTCTTTATCTCTTCCAATTCCTTGCTCAACGAGCCGAGTCGTCCTGATAACCTGATTGCATGGCTTTCTATGAGTGTGATCTTGTGTGAATATCGCAGTCAGATCAGAACAAGGACAGGGAGTATGAATCTGCTGTAACAGAATGGCGCCTTCTCAGTTCAGGTGCTCAGGTGTTCATGGTCTCATGTGGAGCACGTTTTATGTGTCCTCTGTGTAACAGACACATATCCAGTATCGCCTCTGTTCACAGGCTCAGTTGCTGGATAAATACTTGTCCTTGTTTATGGAAATCTGAGCTACATTTTTTTTTTCGGGCTCACGTTTGGCACGTGGAACATGGAAAACGGAACCTGGAATGTGGGGTTTGGAACATAGAGCATGAAATATGGAACATACACCGGGTCCAAAGTATTGCACATACTGTTGAATCTGAGTTATACTTCAACTGAATTGTTTGCAGCAGCCCAGTGTTGTAAAGCAGTACTCTGTGGTTTCCATGGCAGTTCATTTTTAAATTTTCACTAATAATAAGAATTCTGGGTGATAAGCAACAGATTTTTGTTAGTTATTTTCCATGTCTGATGAAGTCATCTATTTCTCGCCTTATATTATTCAACCATTTTCAAGCTAAAAATTACTGCACTAAAATGACACGTGTGAATTATCTCGCTGGGGAGATGATCTAGTAATATGCTTAGTAAGTGCAGAATAAGTCTTTGCTCTCTGAAGTTCGGCATAGTGTATGCATCAGAATTGTGGGTGCTGCTGCCACCCTGTGGCCAAAACTGACCTGCAGCCAGTCTGGTGTACAAGGTCATAGACGGAATGACGTCGGCGATACTGTATGTAAAAGAATTTCCCACTCCCGGTTTCACAGCCCTCATACAGGCAGTTTGTTCAATGTATCTGCAATTCCAAGCATAGTGATAAACTGGGTGTGAGTGTGCAGTCAGGAGGTAACTTACTGGGGGAAGTTTGCTAACACAGTAGAACACAGCATTGCTGAGAGAGAAGGATTAGCTTATAATAACCTTTTATCACAGCCTTCCTGTTAGTGTCCTTTTTTAACAAGGAAGTGGGACCTGATACTGTAGTTTAAGTGAAAGTGTAAGTTTGTAACTTGAGCAGCAGACAAACACATTATAGGTTTTGAAGGTTTATTGCTTTGGCCATTGTCCCACTTTCTGTTGAATTTATATTCCTGTAGATAGTGTGTAAGGTGAGTTTCATGTCCTCACATTGCCATCGGCAATGCTTGGTTAACACTGGAAGTACATCACTAAACATTTATGAATACATGTTGCAACATATTTTAAGAGATCTAATGGATTTTTAAGAGTTTATCTGGGCTCTGTGGTATTCTTCGACTGTTCTGTATAGCTCGCTGTTAGTAGATAGATAGATAGATAGTACTTTATTAATCCCTCGGGAAGGTTCCTCTGGGAAATTTAGTTAGTGTCCCAGTCCCAGAGGGGGGTGAGCCAGTCTTGGTCTGGGGGGCAGATGTTCGTATGGCTCTATTGGATGATGAGGTCGTCTATCCCTCTAAGCATGTAACTAATGAAATTAAGTTCTTATTGTGCTTGTTCAGAGTATTTGGCTTCCGCTGTCAGTGTTTTATATAGAGCCGAATGCCATCGACCCCTGGGGTCTGAACGGTCTCTTCCCCCTCTCTGCCATGCCAGGCCAAGAAGGAGGAGATAGACGAGCTGAACAAGGAGCTCCGCCAGTGCAACCTGCAGCAGTTCATCCAGCAGACCGGAGTTCCCCCCACCCCCCCGAATTCGCACACGGACCCCCTGGAGCAGATGGAGCAGGCCAAGCTGCAGCAGGATGGATACAGCAATGGTGGTAGGTTGACATGCACTGACATACTAAGTCCTGTAGAGATGGAAAGTTCAGGTTCAGAAAGTACAAATCCAGACCAGAGTTTTGTTTCAGCCAACCAGTTGAGTACTCTGTGACTGTGACTCTTTATACTCAACTGGTTGGTTGAAACAAAATCTTGGTCTGGATTTGTATGTTCTAAACCTGAACTGGCGTCCTCTGCGATCCTGACCTGTACCTTATTGTGCAATGTTCTCTGTCCATCAGGAAGACAGCAGTTTCTGGCTGCCCTGTAGAACCAGCACAATGAGAAAAGTGGAACCAATCATTTCTGTTATTACGTTAATGCCATTCATTTCTCATAGGAAAAAGGATGATGCTTCCCTTTTGTAAACTAATTAAGGAAAAAAGGATTGAGAGATTTGAGTGAAATGTAAAGCATGCCGCTCATTAGTCTATCTAACATGCTTTTGTGCTGTTAAATAGCATCAGCGGTTTTCCCCTGGCAGTAGGTTATGAATGTGAGCCTTGGCCACTCTCACACTCTGCCCTGTGCCCTACAGAGTCACTGTCTCGCCCCACTGCCAAGCACTTCCTGGGACACCCGCGAAACCTGCAGAACCCTGCGGTGTCCAGCCTGAACCCCGAGGGTGTGTATGTGTGAGAGCCTGATGCTCCCAGCCTGCCTGTCCGCCTGCCCAGCCTCCAGCTTTCAGCTTGAACTTGCCGCACGCAGAGCCAAACCTCCCTGTACCCCCCCTGCCCTGGTATCTTACAGCTGCATGAGGGTGTGCTTGTACCTGGGCTCCTGGGACTGAGCAGCTGCCAGGAGGCTCTTTTGCCTGTCCTCCACATCACCATCCAGCTTTTTTTCCCCACTTATTTCCTCCTCTGCCTCCTACCTCTTTCCCTGACTGGCTATGGAGACTCGTCCCTGTTCCACTCACTTTGGTTTGGTTTCCGGTCCTCCCTCTCACGGTCACTTCTGGAGCTCCGTGGACTAACGCTGGTGCCGAATTCACATAGCCACGGCTTTTTCTCCATCCTTTCAACACCACGTGGGTTGAGCACTTCGGAGCAGCAGCTGCTGTCTTTAGCCTGAACTACAGTTGCTCGTACAGAAGGAAAAGACTTTGATGAAAGCACCACACTGACTCCTACTGGCTTCAGTTTAGTTAGGATATGAGGTGTCTAAGTGCCTTTTTCAGTGCCTTTTATTAACTAGGACTCAACGGATTCTGTGTCTCTGATACGTACGGTCAGTTACGGCCTGCTCACTACAGAGACTGCCGCACTCCATTGGTGTCCCCCTCTGCTACTCCACTAGTCTGAAATCACCGATTGGATCGCCTCTCTACCTCCTGCCTGGGTCCACGCACTCTGTGACATGACAGATGAGGGATTCTCACAGAACAGGAGAGAGTCTCCAGATCTGTCCACTTCTGTGAAAAGGGCTTCAGCTGGCACAAATTGCTGGCTCTCGCATTGTGGAGCAAATATCTTATATGTTTCCTAGTGCACCAAACCAGATTCGATTTGCTCTCTCAGCCCGGCACCACAAAGGCCTCTCTCCTGTCCTCTTTGTCTATCCCCCATCTGTCTCCTGTCCTCCCTTCCTGCTCTCCCTCTCTCTGGCATGTCGGGATGTAACGGAACACTATCCCCAAAGCTTCTTGCCTGTGCCCCTTTTTGTCCCCCTAACCCAGGATGTGCTGATGTTTTAGCAAGAAAATGTGCCATGATACCAAACACCGGGAGCGTCATTAGGTATTTTTGTGTGTCTTGCAGTCCTGACATCCAGGGAGTCGTCATGGAGATAGAACAGAGACCACAGCCCTGGGAAGTTGGTCACTGTAAACTTTATTCCTTCCTAAATGTTCAGCTTGTTCTAATTGTTGTTCTAATTATAACAAATGTTATTAATTCTATATATATATATATATATTTGCAGAATTTTGTTACATTTTGGAGTATATATTTACTGTAAAATATTTTATGATTTTTATGATATACCTTCCGTGTATATAATAAAGTTGAATGACTGAGTTTCAGACCAGTTGCATGCTCCTTCTCTCTCAGATCTTACACTTGCTTTGTAGCTGCGTGGGCTCACACTCCTGGTCCTGCCCTCTTAGCAAAAGGACAGCCGGTTCACGGATCATTTGCAGTTCAATGTCACAATGCCAAACAACATTTTCCCAGGGAGCCGAGAGCCATAGTGGTTGGTTTTCCGAAGGGATATCGGCAGAGGAAATGGACGCTCATTCTCATCCTGAGAGATACGAGCATGAAGAGTGAGGGGGGGGGGGGGGCAACAGCTGTGAGGAAAATCAAAAGATTAAATATAGTGTTGGCCATGCAGTCAAGTTTACAGCAGAGGTCCGGACTCTTCAGCTGGTGTCTGCTTTACGATGTGAACAGGGTTCAGCTGAATCTTTTCTGGTGCATAAACACACACCGTAAAGGCCGGGATTAATCCGGTGAGGCATCGGGCAATTATTCTTTACTGAGCTGAGGGCTTCATAGTCAATCATTAATGGATTGACTACTGAAGCCATGTTCATGTAGTAATAATAAAAACCAGTACAGATTACATCTCAACAAAGAATATTAGTCATTTCGACTCACAGTAGGATTTTTTTTATTTATATACTTTAATAACAGGTGCTACAAACTTTTGTCCATGTTTTGTTTCAAAATGCATTCAAACTCTGCCATGTATTCATAGTACCATGGAGTTAGTTAGTTTAGTTAGTGTTGTTTGTTAAAACCCATGGGGATATCAGCTCTATAAATAGACTTAGCTGTGTTGTGCGAATTGCTTGCTGGTAAGATCATCACTTCATCCCTGAACGTCACACCCTGTTGACCAGAGGTGGGGGGAGAGTGGAGAGACTTGGTGAACTAGCAGGTGAGCAGTACACGCAGCCCCTTGGCTGTTTAACCTGCTCTGGGAAGCCTGTGTTTCCCTTCCAGCATGATTCAGGGAAGTTAAACGTTAACATGAAGTTATGTTTTTTCCCTGTTTATAGGAATAAATTAACTTGACAAATGAAAAGATCGACGTGCAAACCAACTAGGAAGCATGCCAGCTGACAGGCACACAAACAGCAAATATTTATTTAGGAAGAGTCCGGCCCTCAGCAGTAAAATCTCTGCGCATATAGCGGAAGCAGATATTAGCAGATATTAACACACTTATGCTGGCTCAGGTTCAGGACAGAAGCATCATGTTCATTATGGGGGTGGGGATTAGATGGCTACATAAAAAAGGGAAAACTAAATCGTATAAAAAAGTAAACAAAAAAGTCAGATTCAATGAGCAGACTGGGTCCAGGATTAGAGGGGAGGAAGGAGACACACATCTCAACACAAACTTACAACCTGCCGAAGCAACGCTGAAGCATCTGAGCAAATCCATGTTGTCACCTGCATAATCCCCCATCACAACACTAATCGATCCATCTTCCAACTACTTCCTCAGTAAAGCGTCACAGGAAGCCTGCAGCCCATACCAGAGAATCACTGGGCATCAAATGATATCACTAATCCCTTTACATAAATTGTTTTTCCGTGCTAAATCATATGACATAGAGGAGTACTGTCTTGGACACGCTTTGACATGCACCAAGGCACACCTTTGTCTCAAGTAAGGGCTCAGGTCACAGAGGTCTGACGCCGCGATTGATGATATGAAATGGGATTATAGCTAAGAAGGCTGGGGATAGTCTGGCTCTACTGGATGAGATAATCCCAAAATCTCAGCTGGACTGAAGGCAACTTCAATTTGTGGGCCTGTGGCCAAAATTACTGAAGTATTCCTAACTACCACAGAGAAGTGTAGCCACTAAATATTTGAACCCCTATTAAAACGCTTGTACATGTGCATACACGTATCTGACAAAAACAACCCAAGATGGATGCATCCTTGAAAAGCAATCACAGAATGTAATCTTTGTAAAATCCCCTAATGGATCATAACAACCCTACACTGACATCTGTCCTGCTCAGAAGAGTGTCTAATGCATGCACAGTACACAGGAGGAGGTTTAGGAATGCCAGATTAGCTTGCTTTTTCCAGGACTTTGCAGAAAACAAGACTGACATCATAACCGAACGGCAGTATACAGAGAAAAAGACCGTACTTCAGCTAGAAAATCTTTAATCGCTAAAGTACAGTGACTGGTGCATTGACTTGCATAAGCTGTTCATTTACACGCTTGTGGGCGACAGATATTTAAGGTGGAAAACAAGACAAAAAGCTTAACGACTAGACTGTCCTGGGGAGGAAGGGGGGAGGGCGGTTCGGATGGAGGGGTGAGACCAGCAGGAAAGCTGATATGCAGGTCTTTTAATTTGCTAAATCAAGACACAACAAAAGGGGAAACGGTGTTTCATGCCGCGAGTATCATTTCAAAGTCATGGGTTCATGTCCCGCGAGGTACCTTACGACACTAGATTTGGGAAATGTGATTAAACCGAGACGTGATTCATTTATTTTTTCATCATAACCAGCTGTGCAGAGATGTGCATTCTGTAAGGCTGTCAAATCGATTCTTCTGATAAAAAAGCACCTGTTAAGCAACTCTCACATAATAGGCTAGTTCGACTATTGAAGCAGCAAGACTTTTACCCCGTAAAATTATACGACTGCATACATATTACAACAAAACTTGCTTAAAGAGGGAGAGAAACATATGCGCATGATTTTAATGTTTCTCTACACATTTGTGCATATTACGTTGTTCAAAGCTCTCAATTTATGGTTAATTTAAATTGAGCTGACTTTCGACCGTCAGTTGCCGCAATTAGCCTATTACTCAAAGGACGGTATATTCTAAATGTTGTAATAAATCTCGTTTTATTATTCTAGAAGATTAAGAGGATGCTAAAACTCAAGTAAAGTTGATACTATTGCTACCAGGATAATCCATGCCCAGGCCAGTGCAGAAAACGAATTCAGTTTCTAAATTTCAGATTTAAATTTATTAAACAGGTCCTTTTCAATAAAACATGGGCACTATATATATAATTGCCTGAAAACATAATTCGTCCCCCACGCTCCGAACACATCTGATAATATAATACGCTTTTATAATCGATAGGTTTAACACGCGTGCTGAAAAAATGATGGACATTTATGAATGGAGATGGACGCGGACGCCGCCTGATACGGAGCGGGCGGACGGCGAGGCGAGGCGGAGCTACGAGCCGCGCCTCCACTGCTTTAACCCTCCGATTGCCAGCAAGCTGAAACGCTACAACGAAAGAAGCGCCACCAGGCATCTTTCACTTAGCATGGCCGCATTCAGCGATAAATGTAGCCAGAAACCTGTAAAACGGTCACGTCAAAATGAAACCAAATAATACCACTTTATTTCAAGCACTGAAACACTAGACATACAACAGCCAAAATGGCAACAGAAGTCAACATGTATTTAAATAATACAGAGATATATTTTAAATATATGGTCAATAAATAAAGAAATGTTGGGGAATGCTTAACAGCAACATATTACAACAAATCCACTGCTGTTTTAAATGGCCCTAGTGGAACAGTCTCAGGGTATAAAATATCACCAGAGTCAATAAAGACGGATTGATCTTTTCCCCCAAGACTGGAACGTTTTCTTTTCCTCGTCGGACGAGGCATGTAAGGTGTCGGGCAGGGCGGCAGCTTCACTTTACGCGGGGACGAGTGCATCTGGGGCCGCACGCTGGCGGACTGACCGATACCCCAAAAAGCTGGTTAGCCGCTGTCACACGCACAGTGGAAGTAAGAACGGGCGCAATGTGCGTTAGTCAGTGGCTTACCTGCTTCTGGAAATTCAATGTGCCTTACTGTACGAGACCCATATAAAAATAAAAGGAGATCAACAACAAGGACACCAATAATAACAAAAACGTACTATCACCAAATATATACGTACTATCACATCAATAATAATAATAATAACATTAACGATAATAATAATAATAATTATTATTATTATTATTATCGTATTACATTGTGCAAAAAAGATAAATGGCGAATCTTTTTGCGTCTTTAAATTGACAAAATGTGTCACTCAACACTTTCCTCCAAAACGTAGATGATACATCGATATGAAAACTCATACGCAAACTTATATAAGGTACATGTAGTTCAAAGTATATTTAAAATGTCATATTAGACTTTAAGGTTGTGAACATTGCTGTCACAATAAGCACATTTCAACAAAACAATTTTTAAACGAGTTACTTATTTATATTGCTCTTACTCTATCGATTAAACTGATACACATCACTGAATTACTTATGAGTATTTTAAAATATCTATAAATCTCATTAATATATGAATTACTAGCTCCTATTGATACTTACCGGTCTCATAACTTGCAGTTCATTGGTCTTTGGAAAAGAAAACTAAAGATTTAACTGGAATTAAATTATACATTAATTATCCACGAAAAGCAAAAGAATATTTTTTACAAAGTTGAATTTGAGCTATGCTTGCTATCGCAGAAGTTCAGCTCAGTTACACTAATCCAACCCAGCCCACGCCTCTGCATCTGCAACCTGACCTGGATATGCAAATTAAACAGTAACTGGCATTTTATACAGCCAATGAGCAGCCAAATATGTGTCCCAAAACCCGCCCAATAAGGACTCCTATTGTGTTACAATCTTTGAGGGGCGTATTATATACCGCCAATGTGTTCGGTGGATTTTCTTGAGTTATAGTTGGGGTGCGGCGCGTTCATTTTTGCACGTCTTACTTTAGGACGGAACCATTACATGAAATCCATTTTATGCTTTTCGTATTTTGTTATTTATGCCGCGGTTGCATTTCATTTATTTTATTTTAAAATAGCATTCTTATGCAATATTATTGATCACAGTCTCTAGATAATGTTATGATACGCATTCTGAAAAACGAAAGCTCTACCCGCGATGCGCAAAGTGGTTGAACTCTTGTACACTTGTGTACGGTGTTGCCATGAGGCTAGTGTCGATGTGCACGTACGGAGGATGCTGCATGACAGCACAGGGGGTTGGGGGGGGGAGGGATATCTGGTACTATTATACAGTATGAACGTTCCACGATACGTCCTAAAGTACCCTGTCGTCATGGCAACAATAAAGCGAAAAAGAAAGTACACAAAAAGAGCCCTTTACAAAATTAGTGAAGTTTAAACTACTTAAGTTTCATATATCTATTTGAATTGGTTGGACAAATATATTGACGACACACCACGTATCGTTAATCAGTATTATATAATAATATAAATACATATTCGAAATTTATCAAAGACCCATCACTGGTGAGTTAATATATACTTTTACTTCCTTTGTCGTCTTATTGATTGAATTAAAATTTTTCATTCGTTGTTTGTCCTGTTTCACAAGTGAAATAACTAACACTCCGCCTTCTCCATTCTGCGTTTTTTTTCGGTTGGGGGGCAGGACCTAAGAGATATGTGACACAATAATGGTTATTAACGTCACATTTACTGTATGTGTTAAAATCGCGCATGTATAGTTTGTGGAAAACAATACTATACTTTAATTTATATTTACACAAACATTTCCCGGTCGTGATTGACGTTTTGGTTGCAAAATCCGTACCGGTCGCTAAAATTCAGTTCAAAAATATGATTTGGACCACAGCTTTATCATAAACTTTGCTGGGTTTTTGCAATGCAATCCTTCTTTGGGACCCATATGTCTCTGGCGTAGAGAGCAGATTCAAGTCTGTAGTCAAAATATGCAGTTTTCATCTTTGTTGATATTAAGATAGCGATGTATTGTTCATTTATTGATTACTGACAACTTTTAAAAGATATCAGTGGTGGCTCATAATGATAAAACATTTTACAATAATGATTTTTTAAAGAAGCAAGTATGTTTTACATGGCAATACATTTTTACTAATTAGTTATTTCAAAATCATTTGTTTCATAATTTAATCTTTGCAGACAGATCCATAGGGACAAGACAATTGACTTCATGGGGACCCCGAGCTGGGCCGATAACATTGTAAATTGCACCGACAAATCTAGTTTAATTGTGTATGCTGTTTTTCCAAGTAAAGTGAAAATAAAGGCATTGTTATTATTAAATTCTCTTTGTTGATATTATTAATTTACGCTTCACGGTAAAATAATGATCACATACTGTATATTACCATGTTAGGCGGG